TCAGTGATAGGGACATTGCTGACGGTAGTGACGCAGATTATAATCGTAAGAAAGATAAGGGGTCATATCCATTACTTAGTTTCGCCTTGAAACGCGGAATCTACACGGGAAATTTGGAAGGCAGAAGCTGAAAAACACTTCAAACGTACGCGCGATCGCATGCTAAATGAAAGGAAAGCGTTCGTCGGTAGGCATTCCGGTGCAAGTAATGGAAACGATATCTTCTATTTCACTGAGCATTCATATTGCGCTGTATTGGCCGACTACATATTGTATCTATCTACAGATTTATGTATTCTAATGGCGTCATGGCGCGGACTACACCGCCGCTGGTAAAGTAGAAGCGGCGTGCTGAGTTGTGCGGGATTGTAAGCCTTGCTCTGTCTGTTACGATTCGATCACTACAGCGCCTTATGAACAGCTCACTACCGAAAAAATTTCGTTAAAATTATAGGACCCGCCTGGCGAAGCCAGGCCAGCTCGGCGAAGCCGAGCTCAAGAGAAGGAGGAGAGCACGGCGTGAGCCGTGCGATCCGACTGGTACTAATATCAGATAGCGCAGAAAATTCTCTTCAGGATATACTACTGTGACGCAAGGGAGAATGAGTTTTTAATCAGTAATCAATGTACAAAAAATAGTACGCAAAATGCTGCAGAACTCTCCGGAAGCCTTAATAACAAACCGAGGAGGACCATCGTCATTTGCGGACGCGACGCCGCACGCGACGCCCACCATCGCGGTGAATCACGATTCTCTTGTCACATAGCCCTTCCGCCAACCTAATACATGTGAACCACATATGGCTCTTGGAGAATTCGTTGTAATAGTCAAGGCTCTTGCACAAATGTCATGGTGCAACCGAGAATTTGCCCGATTAGCCGGTTTTCAAAGAATAGTTGCACCAATAAACCTCGCACCAGTTGTAGAGGACTAATAGCTCGCAATAGTTATGTACAGCACTGAATTCGGCGTTCCTAAGCGCTGCGTGGTGCTTTTCCCAAGACAGTTTCCCTTATAGCGCCCGTGTCCCACCGTGTCCTCCCGCGCCACAATTGTCCGACCGATCCTGACGTTCGCTTCAGTTCCTACGAAGAATATGAAGCGAAGGAAATGATATCAAGCGGCTACAGTGCTGTATGGATATCTGAATACATACATGTACCCGTATCTGCCGTAGCAATTTTTGGCACGATGCCAACAACAAACTCGTCAGAAAATGCTGTCTGAGTCGTGTAGAACAAAGGCTTTTCTGCGGGTTTTTGACGGTTTCACTTCGCATTTCGCCGTTTCCCCCCCCCCTATTAGAACGCCTCGGGCTAACCCATTTAGCAGAGACCAAATCATCCGGCCATACCGCGCCTTTAATAGCTTCCGATGTTAACAACTCCATTTTGGACCGTGGTCAAGCATTCCATTTCCTTTCAGAACTGTGGTGGCGTTTTTGATGTGATTTGATTATTATTTGGCTTGAAAACACATTCGGCTATTGTGATTAATGGACCTTGAGATGTGATTAAGAAACCCATAAATAATTCATAATTCAAGAACTAATTGAAGGATTCATAATACATTAACTTACGTTATTACAATACTACTGACTTACTTATTACTATTACTCTAGTATCATATTACAATTCAATAAGCCATTTTTTTTTCCTTCATCCTTGACATATGAAGCAAATGGAAGCGTAACGAGATAATGTGTGCCCCATCTGAGGGACAGTGCGAAAAGGCGACTGAGTTACTGCACTGTTTCCTCACATAAATACAGTAAACCTTATTTTGAAAGTACCGTTTACTGCCTTCATTTTCAAAGATCGCGTCAGAACTTTGATTTGAAGGAATGTCTAGGAATTCTTTCCCATGGGTAGGCTGACCCTCTGCACACTGGTATCGCACCCATTTGACTCGAGATGGCTTGGCAACCAAGCCGGCAAGCGCTGGAATATCGTGCCGAAATGCATTAGACGGAAGATTCCCAGAAAAAACCTCAAGTCGTCCTATGAAAACCTGCTTCAACGGGTACTTTGACTCCGTAAACACGAATATCACATCTACATGGGTGTTAATGGAGTTGAGGCTGGGGAAATGAGAGTCACATTGTTACAAACGCAGATGCCTGGCTGTTCTACACCCTTCCCCCGAGAGAGTGATCCCTTTCCTGTGGTAAGATTGAGCCTTGACAAAGGGCAGCATCACTGTCGCAGGCAGTGAACGGTACTGCATGGCTTCGCAATATTTCCTTAGCTTTCACAGCAGGTTGTGCGGCATGAGATGCCTCGACTCCGCATTACATGTGCTGCGGTCGAAACCAACATTTCGTGCCGCACACACGGGCGCTGGGAGATTTCGGCAGCTAGTGCGGTTGCTTGTTCAGTCGCACAGTGGGACAAGTATCAACACCAATCAGTCTTTCAGAAGGGGCGAGGGGGGGAAAGTCATAAAAAATCGGCCTTATTCGGGAAGTTTAGGGGGTATAGGGCAAATAGAAGCATTGTTCGGAGAATCAAAGCATAAAACGTTGAAGGGATTTACATTGCATTACGAACTTTCAACAACTTAATTCGGATGACCATTACATTTGACTCAACCTCTACATTAAATTTGATATTTTCGCAAAATGGCGGGGCGGTGCCAGGAAGCGTTTACTCAGCCCATCTGTGGCGTCCTCTACCTTTGCTTATTTTCCACATTACCCGCACGCTATTGATAGAAGACGCAGCCGCAGGCGGGCGCATTCCACGTTTGGTGAAATTGCCCTGTCGCATTGCGACGATATCAAGTACATACAAGAGTGAAGAAAAGGGTGGAAAAGTTGAAGATGACCTGAAAAGCCTTTAATAAAGCGCTAATTAATAGCGTTGACCATAGTTCGAAGAAGCGAGACGTAGCAGGGCGAGAGACTAGAGACAATGGATGAGAGAACTGGATGACGAGCGAAAAAGAACAAGAAGATCAAGAAAAGTTGGATAAAGCTGTCAAAAGGAGCGTAGCAGCGGTCCATTTAGTCTTGGCATAGAAGCGCGGCCAAAACGCTGCCGGGAGTCTCGGGGAGTCTGAACCCTGTGCACGGCATTGCACATGTCCAGCTGCACCCTGGTCCTTTGGTAGAAATATACAAATTTCCTTAGGCAGCGATAGACCTCGCTATGCCACCCGTCGACGCACTACGGCGTGAATTCTGAACGCTGTCGTACCATTAGATATAGACCCATGGAATTTGTCATTCATTCTCTACAGCGCCTTTTTTTCTGTGCTATACCATTTTTCTACTGAGGCCTGCACAGCCTCGTCTACGTGCTTTTATCCTTTGGGAGGATAGAAGCATGACCCCACAACTTCAATGTCCTGAAAAATTCAAACAAATGGTCCGACTTCCGAACCCGGAGAAAACCGATATTAGGTGGGGTCCCGCTCACTCCCGGTTCTCCGTCCAACAGACTCAATTCCTCGACCATACGCTTGTCTGCGAATGTTTGTCCTGACAGACATATGTGGCTCGTTCCACGTAATGACGCACATTCCAAGTGATTTATCGGGTCTGGAACGTGAAACTTGGGAACTAAAAAAATCCCTCCCCCAGAACTTTTCGAAAAATGATGTATAGGCATTCTTGAGGAAGCATTTAGCATGGCAATTCGCTCTGACTTTTTTGGCAGTCGTTTAAGCTTGCGTAGTTGGTAAATCTTAGACATTTTGTGAAGTTTACACATTGATTTCTGTGGTTAGTAGGCGCGTCCTCGCTTCCAAAAAGGTGCTTTTGTGCGAGCCCGAAATATTAACGAAATGGCAAGTAACAGAAGAGTGAAGGCGACTTTCCAAAATCCCGCCGAAGTGCCTTAATATAGAACCTGTACCTATGTTGAACCGCGCATGCAGGTGCACAAGGCGAAGAAAGGGCGTGGTCGGACGAGTTCTTTTGTCGGTGCCAGCCGTCTCTCCTTACCACTTCACTCGCACTATTCCAAATGGAGGTTTACTGGCGGAACAACCCCACCGCAACAGGTACCAGATAAAACTGAAGGTTGGGTGTCGCCGTGGCCGGTGGGGGAGCCGTCGTTCAGTTGCGAGCGGAAAGCCACGAAAGTAGTACATCCTCTGTCCTTGCAGGCAGCACCACCGTGCTCGAAGTAGGCGGCTGGCCGACATCAAATGAACGAGGCATGCTTTTGTTGATTCTCGTGGTGTGGGACATTAGATCCATGGTGTGGCCATGGTGTTAGTGCAGAAAAAATGTTTTTTTTTGCAAAATCGAATTACTAATGCTGTGAGCAACTGAAATAGCTTTCCAAATTTTCTGTAACTGTGCTGCTCCAAGGACGCATAGTTTTCTGTTATCAACCCCTGGTTAATTAAAACTTGTCCGTTTGTCATTGTGCAGGTACACGATTTGTGACTTGCTTACAGTCCCGAAACGATTGTGTCCTTTCTATACCTAAACTATCATCAGGCGAACCACTTTTCGTTGACAAGATCAAGATCAGTAGTCGTAAGCATTAGAGCTAGCTGGACATGGAGAAAGATAAAATTTGTATATATGTATACGGTAGAACGGTTGTTGTGCAAAATTGGGCTGCCACGACGGCGATCTTGCGGACACCGAGTTGGCGAATTTGCTCAGATCCCTTTCCAATTGTGATCGATTTCCTCTTGTATGAGCTGGTTTTGAATTTATCTTGAGTTTTGGTGTGATCTGAACATCACCTAGGGTTCACTGTCCCCATTGAATCACTTCCCGGTTTCTGTAGTCTCAGATTGGGCCGGGGAAAGCAATGAACATTTTGGGGATGCATACCTCGTTGTAATCGCACATTCCCTTCCCAAAGTGCGGAATTCCCTCGATATTTCTCATGCATCATATGGGAACGTATTTATAAGACCAAAAGCGAGAGTCCCCTGATTGCTCTCCAATTTTGGTCTGTTCCCACAATGCGACGTCATCACCCTTAGTTGTATTCATGCTAGATTCCCGGTATTGATTATTCAGTTCTTTCAGGGGATGCCATTACGGTTGGACGTGAAAAGAAAGCTTCTGGCACGATCAGATCGCGTGAAATGCGTTGATCTTCATCCAACTGAGCCATGGCTTCTTGCTGCTCTCTACAATGGAAATGTTCACATATGGAATTATGATACTCAGCAGCTTGTGAAGTCTTTTGAAGTGAGTTTCTATCTTACCATTAGAATCGTGTCTTATGATTCGCTGCCCAGGGGTTAGTATCATAGACCGTGCAGTACTGGTACAAGCATTTGAAGCCCCAGCAAGCGATTTTGCTTTCCAGTGAACAGTCCGAAAGAAAGTTGTGGCGCTACAGGCCTCGAGATTGATCGGTGGCAACGCTGCCTGTTTATAAATGTAGGCATTGGCGCAGGACTCGCAGGGCATTTTAACCGCAACGTTTCTTAAAGAGAAGGGGAGGGGGGGGTTACGAAGAGACAGGTGTGAGCTAGGGGATGAGAATCAAAGCCACGGAGCTCCGATGTGGGTGAATCAGTCCCCAGGTCGCTGTAATCGGTAAGGTTTGATTGCTTAATCGCCACATTTAAGTTTTCTCTTTAATTTATAGATTTACCTTCTATCTTCCGGGCTTTTTCCCAGTCCTTATCTGAAGCAGAGCTTTCTGCTTATGGGTTTCACTACATTCGTGAGTGGGCAATGTTAAACTGTCGACAAGACAAAGCCAAACTGCGGTTAGTGAGCGATTCTACTTGCCCCAAGAGAGAGGTTGAGGCCCCGATCAAGGAAGAGCTCACAGAGGTCAAGAGCGCCGCAATAGATGCATCGTAATAAAAAAGTAGCGAGATTCAACAACCAAAGCGGACCCTGCGACAGCACGGGGTTAGGCTAGAATTGATAGCAAGGGTAGTCTGTGGACAGCATTTGTTTGACGTGGCTACAACAGTTCTAGCTTTCATTAGTAATGGATTACATTTCTGGGAAACAGTCATGGTTATAACCGGGTGGCGTAACGCACAGCGCACTGGTCTGGAAAGCGTGACGTGCGGGTTCGACTCCCGCCTAGGGTCAGGACTTTTGCCTATTATTCAGCATTGTGAAAATGACTGGCTACGTTTTGCAATCACTTCGGAACAGCACCATAACTGGTGCAAACTCGCAGCGGTCAACCTTAGCGCTCTCCATCAATCATTTTTGCAAATCCGACATATCCGATGATAAAAATGGCCTTCGAAGTCGTTCAGTCGCTATTCGTTCTTTGCATCTGTTTTTTTTCAGGTATGCGATTTGCCTGTACGTGCTGCCAAATTCATCCCTCGAAAAAACTGGGTAGTGACTGGATCTGATGACATGCATATCAGGATTTTCAACTACAATACTCTCGAAAGAGTTCATCAGTTCGAAGCACATTCCGATTACCTCAGGTGATTACCACATGCGCTTACTTTAGTAACGTAATTAGGTTTCAACTAATTTTATTGTTCTTACAGTGATGTATAGAAATTTAATATAGATCTTTTTAAGGTCGATAGTAGTACATCCGACTCAGTCGTTTATTATCACCGCAAGTGATGACATGATGGTGAAACTATGGGATTGGGATAATAAATGGCAAATGAAACAGACCTTCGAAGGTAATACCTAAAAAAATACAGATGGTAACTGTCCTAGATAGGCTGCGCTCGTACTTTGCGTCAGAGTCGGAGCGTACGCCAGCGTCAGCGACAAGGAGCGACGCTGCTGTATGCTGGCGTTCGGTAGATCGATATCCATATTTTCTTAGTCGGTGGCCCTGGCGCACGCTTTAAACGTTGCCATAAGGTGACGCGAAGTGTGACACAGCCGTATTGTTACTCATCATTACTGACGCTATCATAATTACTTCCGAAACTTCATACGCTGTCTCAGTGCATTTATGTTAGTGGAACACCTTTCTTGACACCAGGGTCAAACTCGAAGTCCAGCTTCATCCGCCTTTCCATCTCGCTTTCAGTGCGATTTCTCAGCAGTCTTGCTGAAAAGTTGAACAGCTACCGTTACAGTCACCGAAGAATCATCGAGTGAGCCCACCCGGAGCGTTTTCTACCCGTGGCTGTTTATTTTCCAAAGTCGATCACTATTAGTGGAGAAGGGCAACTAGTCCACCCCCCCCCCGTTGACAATACTCGACGATAGCGACGATACGATTTATATACCAGATCTATGATGGTGACAGCTCACACCAGAGCACAGAATCGCGTTGTGTGAACTTTTCAATAAATATGACCCCCCCTTTATCCTTATGTACGATCCCCTTCACAGCGTGTTTTCCCAGTATTTCACCATTGAGCTCGTGGGGAGAAGGGACCGTGAGTGTACAGCGCACATGAAACTGGAAAAAAAAATCTCCAAACGAAAAAATTTTCCTCGCAGCGCTGGATTACTTATGCGAACCCAGCCACTTCCCACCGAAGAAAGATTTGCCAACGACCAGAGCCAATAACGGAAAAAAAATCCGCAGTCAAAAAAGTCCTTCAGGGAATCTACAACCCCTCGCCCCAGCGGCAGAATTACGATTCCCTCGTTTGTGTATTTACAACGGGTGCGTGCCCTGGCTCGCACAATTCTCAAAGCTGTCCCTGTCCAAGAGTAGCTCGAATACTATCATCCTCGGCCAGATTTCTCCAAACACGTTGCGCTATACTTGTTAATGGAGTCGTACCACAAATGTTGCGCCGCAGTTGTGGCGTTGGTTATGCTTCCCACATAAAAACCCTCGTCGGCAAAAGCAAAAGATTAAAACTTCGGTTTGTTCCCATGAGATGAAATCTGTAGGCAGCGTTCAGGCTTCGCGACCGAAGCGCTGCCGTCGCGAAGTCTGAACGCTGCCGTACGCTTCAGTATAATCGTTCTCCCCGCGATACCTTTCTGCATGAGTGTTTGGTATAACGCGATGTATGATTGATTGAGAAACGAAGGCCGTGATCATCTTTCGTCGCTCTCCTCATTTCATCATATGGATTATTTTTTCTTGTCCATGAAGCCAGTCTTTTCTGAATCTCAGGTGTATAATAATGATTGTAACGATATAAAATTGCAGGCCACACTCATTATGTGATGCAAGTAGCGATCAATCCTAAGGACAACAACACTTTCGCCACGGCATCGCTTGACAAAACAGTCAAGGTATGGTTACCTGATGCTCTGAGCTTTATATCCTCATTATGAAATTTTTTCTAGGTTTGGCAGTTTGGTAGCCAACAGCCGAATTTTACTCTGGAAGGCCACGAGAAAGGAGTGAGTGAATTTTGCTCTATTTTACATCCTTTAAACTCCCTGTTTTCTTCGTTTAGGTCAACTGTGTGGATTATTATCACGGAGGAGACAAACCTTATCTGATTTCTGGAGCAGATGATCATTTAGTAAAGATCTGGGATTACCAGGTTTGTACATACTGATGTTTAAAGCTGCGGATTTACCATCAATAGTAAAGCTTTGCCACAGTAACTTTCCTTGGGAGTGGGAGCCACGCGATCAGACCGTGAGACGACACTCCATTCGTTTACGCCATACCAAAGCTGATCCGCGGAGAGGTTAAGACATTATCCTAATGAGAAGCGCAAACGAGCGGTCTTAGTCGGTTGTGCCACCCACCCACGACCCAACTGCGTTGGTGTGGAGCAGTACTTCCCAGTTGCGTAATCGCGTAATCGCAGTACGACTTGTATCTTGTTATAGGTAAAGGGCACGCAATACCGGTGGGGAAAAATATTTACAGGACACGATCTCCCTTGGAATTTACTTCTCTGACACGACTTCCCGTCCGCTATCCTGCTTACCAGTCCTCCCAAATTTTCCCAACTCTATACCTTTTGTTTTTTTTTTTTCAAAAATTTTCCACTTTTTCTACAAGAACTGTCATCGACTAGCGGCAGGGGAGGAGTGGGGGGACGGGGGAGGGGGTTACGTAGCACACTTGAAACAAGAAAAATCAAGAAAAAAGGGCAACCGGTGAAACGTTTCTCTCAAAAGACAGTACGACCGCGCCTCCCCATCCTTCAGTGACCAAATACTACGCGCTCATAGGACGTCCTTAGTCGACGCATATCGCTACAGGCTGTTCGTGACCCGGGTGGGCGTGCGGTCATCGCGTGGACACCAGTATTCCGCCACACTCACCGCTGCGTTGCAAAGTAAGAACTGCCACATACAGCGCTAGCGCTATCTTGCTATTACCCATGCTGTTTTCAGAACAAAAACATGGCGTACAAACTTGGATGGTACATGCCCAGAATTTTCTTCGTCTGTTTCCATCCGATCGTCCGCTCTCATCATCACAGGTACCATCTCTCTGTATGTACTAATCGCCTAGAACTAATTTCTCAAATTGCAATCGTTTTCAGGTAGCGAAAGATGTCTCTGTCGCGTTTGTCGGTCATGCTAGCACCTCAGGTAGAATTGACTTTCAGGGTTTTTTTTTAGATTTTCTTTTACCTAAGTTTTTCCGCGTTTTCTGCAGTGACAAGTTGGGCTGTTGTCCAGATTATCAACAACACCACGATAGGTATGTTTTATTTAGACTGGAAACAACGCTCAATTACGGCTTGGAGCGTGTGTGGTGCATACAAGCCCAGCGAGGGTCTAACACGGTGGCCATTGGTTATGACGAGGGCTCGGTTACTCTGAAATTGGGTAGAGAAGAACCCGCTGTGAGTCTTTCTTCTATTTTAAAAAGTTCCTCTGGGAAATGATTGTCTTCATGTATGAGTTCAGGTGAGTATGGATCAGTCGGGTAAAATTCTCTGGGCGCGGCACTCGGAGATTCAACAAGCCAATCTCAAGACGTTGGACGCGGAGGCTTCCGAAGCAATTCAAGGCATGTTGAAATCTTAGACAATTTTATATTAGTAAACGGCTGATATTTAGATGGAGAACGACTGCCACTTTCGGTAAAAGATCTGGGTGCGTGTGAAATTTACCCGCAAACCCTTGCGCATTCCTCCAACGGACGTTTTGTCGTTGCTTGCGGAGATGGAGAATATATCGTTTACACCGCAATGGCGCTCCGAAACAAGGACTTCGGTCAGGTGAGTCAGAGGCGCACGTTCGACTTTTTTCGTGCGAAATTGCTATGACACCTCGGAGTGTAAGAAGCGAATAGGAAGTAGGGAGGGACACGCTTCGCTGAGTTTCTGTAAACAACGTCGCAGCGCGTCATCGCGAGCCTGACCGCAAGCGTGAAGTTAGGTATGAATTTTCGTCGGTGCCAAATCCAGGCTGCTCATGTCAGCGTCAGATCTGCGATCGTTCGCGCTACTACCACCGAGGCTCTCCAGCGCCAAATGGTGCACTGCCGCAACGGCTTAATTCAAGTTGTCACTATGTTAACGCGGTCCAGTTTGAATTGTGTCGTTGCAGCACTACAGCGCTTGGCGTTAGAGCGCCCCCGGTCGTGCTCGCGCGATCCAGTTGAGCGATCCGATCGCAGTCCGAACGCACTTTGCTGTAGTAATATTTGTTTGGGACATGGGATGTTCAATGATGAATTGTTCAAAGACAGCGATTTCACCCTAGAGACTGCTACATATGCATTCACCTTTTATTAAATAGTCTAACTAGCATATTCACTTCATTTGGCTCCGCCGTTTAACACATTTTTCTTCGTCACAGGCTCTCGAATTTGTGTGGGCAACAGATCCTAACATGTTCGCCGTGCGAGAATCTGCTACGGCTGTGAAGATCAAGAAGAACTTCAAGGTATGAATATTTCACCGAACTCTCAACTTCCTTGTCCTTCTTATTTCCCACCATTTGTAGGAGTATAAGCAGCTGCGCACTGATACTGTTATGGAAGGAATTGACGGTGGTCCATTGTTGGCTGCTCGATCAGCGTCGAGCCTGTGCTTCTACGACTGGGAGACTGCACAGCTGGTACGGCGAATAGAAATTGCAGCAAAACATGTATACTGGAGTGACAGCGGAGAAATGGTAAGTTGGTTCATTAGATCAACTCATATCATTTGCATTTGCCATTTTTTTAATTTATTTATTGCTATGATTTTTCCATCGTTTCAAGGTTGCCATCTGTGGTGAGGACACATTCTACGTGCTCAAGTACAATGCGGATGTTTTCGCGAGTGCTTCTCCTGATGAAATCACCGAAGATGGTGTGGAAGACACGTTTGAAGTTGTTGGTGAGTAGTTAGTAGTCTCATGGTGAACCTGGCAAAGGAAATGGGGAGACGGTAAAGAGGATCGTAATTTGCCGCACCGCCACGCGCGGCGTTTTCATAACTCGTTTTAACCTGTCGAATGGAGCACCGGACTTCATGTAGACCCCGTCATCGTAGACACTCATTACTGTTTTCGGTCCTTAATTGCATGTTGTCGCCATCTACTACCTGGAACCATCGTCATTTGCGGGCGGACGTCGCACGCGACGCCCAGCAGCGCGGCGAATTACGATCCTCTTGTCACATACCCAAGGAAATGTTCCAAGTTTAAGTGAGACCACTTTCACTATCGTTCGCTACTGGAGAAACGGAGAACTAGCGAAAAGGGTTGGATGACTATCGATTGGTCTTTAGTTTTCAAATCAGAGTACGCCCTGGTCGTTGGGGAAAATTTTGTGTGATACGACCATCTCGAAATTTTCTCCTTTGCTACGATGCTCACCACGTTTTCATCTTTTCTTTCCCCATCCTGCGTACAGTCTTCACATATTCTCGAAACTTCGAACCTTCCCGCAGTGTTTCCCAAATATTCTTCAGTTTCTGCAACAACTGCCGTCGAGCTGGGAAAGGTAAAACAGAGAAGCCGAAAACCAGAAATGTAGGCAAATACGCGCCCCTCTGATGACCAAATACGACCCTACCCGTTGCTAGGGATCCTCGAAGTACGATGTGCTCTACCTCAGATTCTCTGTCTCTGGACCAATATGAGAGCTGAGCTTTCCTTATCGCGAATCTTCTGATTCTTGACTGACATGGTGACTTAGCCTCAGCTCTTCACTTCGCTCCACTCACGTTGTCCACGGCTGGCGATGGCTGCGGTCATTCTTTCAGCTAGCAAATTCAATTTGTTCAGCTGCATGTTAGGTGCCAAATGCAGATGTTATAATGCACCGAGTAGATAGTAGTAATTAGTTATAATAAAAAAGCTTATTCAGAGAAAACGAGGAGCTAAAAGGGCTAGGATGCGTGCGTACTAATGAGAAAATCAGGCTTGAACTCCGACTTTAGATTATACCCTGCCTGCATGAAGGCCTGGCCTATCTCCCCTATACTGCCTTTCTGTGAGAATGCGATTACTGACTTGCTCGTGCAAATGTACATCAGTGATTTCACTCTCACATCATCCAGGATATTCAGGGGGCAGAAGGGAAGAATAGCGAAGGAGTAAGGCAAGATGCAGGGCCGGGATATTCACCCAGTTTCTTCTCTGAAGTCGTGTTTCTCAGGCGTTCAAGCTGCTAATTTCTTCTGAGGAGGATCAGTTACTCGGGTTTCGAGAGAGTCCATCGTATAGATGTGTTCTGTTCAGGTGAACAAGCCGAAGGAGTGAAAACGGCTTTCTGGATTGGAGACTGTTTTGTGTTCACAACCTCTTTGAATAGACTCAATTACTATGTAGGAGGAGAAATAGTTACTATTGCTCATATGGACAGACCTCTATATTTGGTAAGAACTTGAAATATACTGGTTGGTTATCATGGGTTTTTTTGAAGGAGGTTTTCCTGGTGCTATTTTCCACTTTGATTCTATTCAATAATGGCTTCAGCTCGGATATATGGCCAAGGAATCGCGTGTATATGCTGTAGACAAGGAGCTGAATGTAGTTTCATACAAGCTGCTGCTTTGTGTTGTTGGATACGCAGACAGTCCGTAATTGCGAAGAGATTTTGAAAGTGCAGACAGGTGAAAAATCTTTCTAAGGAGCTATGGTATGATTTTTTTTCATTTCTTTTGTTTTTTTGTAGAACTATCCTTTACAATGTGAACTTTCACTTGTTAAGGTGCTGACAACATTCCCAAGGAACAACGAACGTACTCGTGTTGCACATTTCCTCGAAAAGCAAGGTTTCAAGCGTCAAGCCCTCGCCGTGTCGCAAGATCCTGATCACAAGTATGTTCCCACTTACGCGTTTTGTCTGAATGGCGCCTTTTGTTCTTGTTGCTCGAATCGTTCTATGACTCGCCCAGGTCACGTCCTGCCGCTGGGGACATAACTTCTAAAATGCGACAAAAAATCGCTAGCTCCCAAAGAAAATTCCTTTCTGGTGCGAGCCTTCTCGGTTCCACTACCGCATCGCTACTTAATATAGTTGTTGAATTTCTTCGCCCGCTATCACTTTTCCGCAGTTTTTTGTTTCGCTTGGTTCTCGCCGCCTCCTTACCCCCCCCCCCCACCGCCGAACTGGGTATCGCCCAACTTAAACAATTACGACGTGCTGTAATGTGTGTCCCTCGCTGTGGTAGTGCGACTGGCCGCGCATCTGCTGGCTTCATTTTGAGAAGCCCGTTTTGAATAATGTGATAGCCTCTCAGAGTTGCTATGACGCACAGGGACTTTATCTCTGGTTGAAAAAATAGGATGACGAAATAATCGGTTTTGTGACACTAATGCCAGAGAAACTGAATTTAGAGATAACCGTTAATTAAGCTACGTCGGTATGATTACAAGACCCGAAATCTAGGCCTCTTCATCTTTCATGGGCTTTCGAATATGGCTCTTTCTAAAATGTGAGTGAGAAAGAAATGATTTGAAATACAGCGTTCGATCTGTTGGCTTGCTCTGGTGAACGTCGAAACTGCTTATTGACTTGGCTAATGCAAGGTAGACAGTTGAAGGGAGAATGGAAAAGCTGCTTAGTCCAGGTCTGCACAAAATGCGCATTGATTGCTTCGCAAATGAATGCAGTCGATCATTGTTTCATTTTTAAGCGGCGAACATTAAAATCGGAGTTGATGGCGTGGCCTGGGGGAATGCCTTTGGTCGTGCACGAGACTATGGTGGTCTTTTACTTCTTGCCACCTGTGCAGGATCGGCACCGTTGCTGCATAAGGTTTGGCTTTTGACTGATTGCTGCTATCCTAGTAAGAATTGAGGTAATTCAGCTTCTTCAATGTGCAGAACCTACATTTGGGGGAACTGATTGAGTAAAAGCAGTGTGGGGGGGGGAGTGGTAGTCATATTATTTAAGGAACGGATCATTTGAAGGGAATAGATACCTTGGACGAAAGGTGGGGCAACAGTTTCACAAACGGAACTGGTCTTTGAATTCATCGAACTTGATGGTCCTTCTTTACGTAGTGATGAGCATAAGGAAGGGCCTATGCTTCCGCTCAGCTTTTAACAGGCACGATGTGAAAAACAAAAAGACTGACCTAGCTTATCGTGCTTTCACGTGACCCCTCAATATCTCTTTTGTATCGGTTTCACTTTACGTGATGATTATTTTCATCTTCAGTGATTTTCTTGTCTCTGAAATCAGCCTTTCGAAGCCAACGGTCTGCAGACCATGGCCATTATTCTATGGGTAATAGTAGTCCTAAGAGTCTAGAATTCTCTGGTATTATTTAGATAAGATAGCTGAATAGCGAGACAGTGACGACCTTGCGGGCCCCTATAGTATCCGCCTGAAGTATCTCTGTTCTCCACCGATGCGTGCTGCCTCAGTTATATAAGATGTTGAAACATTAATTCTAGGCTTGCCGGGCGATTGATTACTGCCGCTAATGGTCACCACAACGTCCATTTCACAACTAGCCTCCTACTTGGTGATGTGGATGCATGTGTCGACTCGCTCATTGCGTACGTCTTTTTATAATGTAGATGTTTATGATAACTGTAATTCGCTGCGGACGGTTGGGCGTGTCAGCTGGCCGCATGCGTTTGAAACGCGCGGTTGACAAACCCGTTCTCCTCAAGGCAGATGATATAGTGTTTAATCATATCTGCTTCGTATTACTTCGGTTTCTTCCTGACTTCTTGCTTTGTCGCATGCGCATTTCAACAAGACCGCAGAGAAAGGCTCTGAAGGTGTGAACACTCATACTGGCTGACACGCCCAACCGTCCGCAGCGAACTAGAGTGTACCAGTTGCATACTGCTTTTACACCTTTGCAGATAGAATCGTAATAAGATTTGAATCGGATTAGATTTGCGATCTCTCAAGTTCCTATAGTAAGTTCCAGCACTTCAGGACAGATCGCATTCCCGAGGCAGCTTTCTTTGCAAGGACCCATTGCCCGTCTCAGTTACCAAGAGTAATGGAACTTTGGAAGGAGAAGCTGAATCGGTGGGCACCAGCAGAATACACTCGGGTAAGCATGAAGACTTTCCTCACTTTTGTTGTGCAGCTGCTACAAGTTGTCAGGAGAGGTCTGTTTGAAGGTAATGAGCACGATGTTTGGGGCGGGGCAGTGAGCTGCCACGTCATTTTGGAGGGGTGCGAGATGGAGTTCAGCTACGGCCCACACCGCCCTTCCACCAATGACGTTAACGGCAACCACTCGCCCCAGCTACAATGTACATTGCTCCTAAGGGTACATACTTTCGCTCACTGACCAAATGGCAGTTGGCGTGATAAATTCCTCCAAAACGAGTAAATGATTACTGCTGGCAGGACGGAATTCCGCGACGCTGAGTAAGCATGCGTAGCGCCCTTTCGCAAGAGGTACGCGTAAGGGCCCTATGAGCTTAGCAGGACAGACCGGGCCGAACGCCCACCACGCCCGCCGCCCACAAATGGACGACCGTACCTGACGCTCGTGTTGATTCAATTGCTAAGCAAATTATGAAGCGAAGGTGTGGGTATGGAGCGGCCACGGTGCTACACACATGCAGCCGTATCTTCGGTAGCGGGTATTGGCAAGATGCCCACGGAAAACTCGTCCAAAATTTATTTTTAGCCATTAAGAACGAATTCGCAGGATTTTGACCGTTTCACTCCGTTCTTTCGCCATTTTCCCCACTATATAGCGCCCTGCTAGCATTTTAGGCCGAGTACCAAATTATCGTGCCAACTGCCTTAAAAGACAAAATAAGTGACAAAACGACTCAGAAGACACGAATGAGGCAAGAATGGTGCCTAGAACCTTTGTAAGCGGCCTCAAGAGCATCAACTAGGAAGGTTATTTCGGATAGGTGATACCTCAGAGGAGTAATAAAGTGATGCACCCCACTTATTCGTTAGCATTGTGACTATTAGTGTAAGTATCAAAAACCACTTTACTCACGTAGTTTGAGAATCAGATGCAAAGTTGACTCTCACATTACGAACTACTAGTGGATGAGCTTGAGCTCCCTTTTTGAGTAGTAGCTTTCTAAATTCCAGGAGTCTCAATAAATCATCAGGATGCGGGAATAAGAAGGCGATCATTAGAACTCTGTGGTTAACGCAAGCGACGCTTGGCATTTGATGCATTTGATTCCTTAACTATTTACATGTTGATGTTATGGGACTTTAACACGATATACAGTGTCAGTCGTTATGCATTAGGTTAGGTGACAACTACAAGTTTCGATGGGGACCTTGGCACGAAAGGCCAGAACGCAGAATTCGCAGAGGGTTGCAGCCGCAAAGTCATCGACACGTGAAAAAAAACTCGCCGCGAGCCGGGGGTGAGGTTCACAAGAAGAGTGATTCCCGGGGTGGATAATCCACATATATGCGTAAAAAGAGTGTGTAAGGTTCCACGTAAAATGTCATGCAAACGTGAGAGAACAGAGAAAAAGAGAACGTTGGTTTATGGGATGAGTTCGAGTTGTCCGCAGACCTCCATTAGATCAGAAAGATGAGAAGCAAACCTCTTAATCCTTCAGCTCGGGGCTCTCGTAAGAGTAGCTTTTACTTACTAGCAGATACCAACCAGGTGGGAGAAGCAGCTTAATAACTTGCTATAACCTAACTAACTTTTGCAACTGAGGTACTTCGGGTCGTACGGAAAGGTGCTACACATTTTTCGCGTAAATTTTTCGTAATCTTTTAATGTTCTTTCACAATTCAGAACATAAGTTTGCAAGTGCTTTACCATCATATTTTTCGCACAGTCTGTGACCCGAAAATTCTGGGTTATTTGCAAAAGACTCGGCCAAAACTCGATCGTGCCCTCACTTTTATCAGGCCAGTGTGCTGATTATTACATTACCGGAGCCCGTCCTCTAAATGGCTGTGACTATGTCAAAGTCAGCCTGGAATCGGTTTGGGGGGGGGGAGTGGTTTGCGGTCTAGCCCAGTGAATGAGGATAGGTTCGAGTTCCGGCTGTGGTCTGGTTTTTCTACTCATGACATGATGAAGGTTAAGTCGTTCAATGGATTCATTTGCAGAAGATTGGCGAGTCACTAGCAGACCCCGTGCGCTACGAAAACCTTTTCCCGGAATGGGCAGCATCTCAAAGAGCTGAGTCGTACCTTCGCGAACTTGCCAAGCTCTCCGTACCGGCATCAGTGCGCGCTCCAACCAATCAGAGCAGAAATGTGATGGAAGAGCTGGAGACCGCATTGAGCACTGGTACGTTAATTATTTTCTTGCAAATATTTACCATGGCCTGCAGTGCATTCATTTTCCAGGAGCTGTAACGTTTGATGAAGCAGGGCAAGCTCATCTTCGTGGTGTTCCAAGGAAGCCTGCTCCAATGATGAATTCCACAGACGTCTTACCGAATTCAATGCCAAAAGCACCTCCTGTTGCTGTTTAATGCCGTTCCCGTTGTTGCTCCTGTTCTTCCTGATGTTTCTCGTAAGCGAACCCCATCACCTCCACCAGCTCCACCCAGAGAGCCATCTCCTGAGCCTGAAAATGATGTAAGACAGGTTGGATGTCCGATTCTGGTGGTTTCGTCTGGATTACGTTATGTCATTATATATTAGGTATGCGTTTTAGCTTTCCGACGACGACAGTGACGGCCTTTCTCGTGAGGCAGTTTCTGTCGCAACTGCTCACGCGGAACCAGATGTTGTCAGTGAACGCCCCAGACCCGATGTAGTGCCACGCCATGGTGGACCTGATTTGTTGCCATCTGCTGCCGGACAGCGTGCTGCACAACCAGAGGTAAGCGTTTTATTTACTTTTGCTTTTTTTTGTTCTAAGTTGTCGAAGCATTGAAGGCTGTTGGCTCTTTTTCTTCTGAATCTTTCTTTCACCCGGAATGAAGTCACGGTAAGCGAACGCTGCTGCTGTGCGTGATTTCGAGTGCGCAACAAGGGCGCTAGAGGCTCGCAAAGTCCACCAACCCAGCCCAAAAGGACTCAAATGCTTGCTAACATCTGACTTGAGGCGCAGCGTTGCGATCGATTCGTTTTTTCTTGTGTGTGTGTAAGTGTATGGCTCTCATCCGCTTTGTCTGGTCTGCCACTTGCACGCTTCCGCTTCTATAGAATGTACGCGCGTCCAGTGCCGAAAGTCGTCGGGGCCTCTCTCGGGAACTTCTGGGCGGTTTCTTCTGCCCTTATTCTGCACAGGTAATTCGATTAGCGGCTGCGAGGTAATCCTTGTGATCCGTTATAGACGACGGGTAGTCGCAAATGTGGCTTTAAATGTGGTAAGCTCTGAGAAAAAAAAAGATTTCCGGGTGAGAATTTTGAGTAAAGAATGCGCTCCCTGTGGAGTTAACGGTCTCATAGTATTCTTCAAAAAAATTCGGTTTATCCAAGTATAAGGCACCCGCGCATAAGGCGCATCTTCTTTTCAGGTGCCCGCAAATGTTTCTTTCTTTACTTTTTTTTTTTGTTGACTTCTACACGGGTGAATAATAGGTAATTTGAGTAATGGAGGACCGCACATAAGTTTGAGGGGAACAAGTCCTACTTACGTTCTTTTTTTCCCCCACAGCCTTTTACATACATTCTAATGTGTTGTAGAAGCTTGGATCAGCCTCGCCCGGGTGAACGATAATTTCTCCGAGCCAGCATATCATATCATATCATATACAGCCCATATTCATGTCTGTAGTATTTCACAAAAATGGCCTTCCCTGCAAATAAGGTCCATGGAGCGGTAGATTTTCTATCAAGTACCAGAATTAGTAAAATTTTCGCACCACCGACCTAACCTGTGGAGGAGTAGGGTACAGCGCACGTGAATTGAGATAAACCAACAATCAAGAAAAATTTTGGTACAAAAGTACCACTAAATTGATACAAAACTAGCCTGGGAGGATATACATCTAGGGCTAGGTGTTAACGCCTGCTATGAAAGGTTGACTGAACTGTTGAAAATGTCGACAGAAAAGTGGTCCCCATTCATTACTGCGCTAATATTGAGGCTTTGATGGTATACTGGCAAGTGGCACGCTTACCACGCGCGCGATTCGCGATCAGATCCCGGATCGGCTCCCGCTCAGGCCAACCAAGCCTTCTGCACTTACTTCACTACTGCGATAAAATGGTATTAAATGCCTTGGGGGGATAATAACACTGACTTGTACATCGGCAGACCTCCGCAAGTGATTGTTTAGGCCATATCATAAAGGATAAAGGATAAAGTCTTCGCCGTTGATCAATCCCTTTGTGGGATGCGGCACGCATTCTACTTCCATTCAGAATCGTAGTGGCTTGCGATGTGGCCTATACAATGACTTGCGGTGGCCAGCCGATGTACAAGTCAGTGTTTTATCCTCCCAGACGAATCTGGTACCAATTTACCGTCCCGGAGGGTAGAAGGCTTGGTTGGCCTGGGCGGGAGTCGACCCGGGATTTGAACCCGGGACCGCGCGAGTGGTAAGCGCGCCACTTGTCATTACACCACCTCTGTCTCATAGGCCATATCATTTTCAAAAAATCATGATTGCTGCGACAGGAGATGTAGAGGTGGACATGGCAGGTGGATGTGTGTGTCCAAAAAAGGAGTGGTCGATGGCGAGAGCTGCTTCCTTTTTCTGTAGAAGAACAATGCTGCTACTCAGGTTGTTGTTGATGCTGGCGAAGTGCGGTGGTCAGAAGACGAGTTTGGAGATGCGGAACAAGGAGGAAATGACATTAACCTTGATGATCTGAATCTGGATGACGAGGACTGACTCGTGGTCGGTCGGAATGCGCAGCAGTAGAACGACGTAATACCGCCACAATCATGGATTGCCTTGTAAAACAGTAAGTGCAGCGTTGTGTTTCAATTGTTCGTTGTATCGTTTGCACATTAAGAGAATGTCTCAGCTGTTTGTTTGTATTCTTGGCGTTTGTTGTCATCATCATGATTTCTGTGCTTTGATAGGGGAGAAACAGCCATTCCTTTGCTTGTTGTTTGTTCGCTTTGGGACGGCATTTTGCAATGAAATGAGCACTAGCGTACGTATTCCGACCGAATTTTGCCTAAATAGTAATTAG